TAGGGTTTGGGGTTTGGGGACTAGGGTTTTGCGTTTAGCTGCTGTACAGTGCAGAAACTGCGGATGTTATTGAGGGATGCAGAGCTGAATCAGGGCTGTCGCTGTATGGAGCCTTCTCCTACGTTTTTGCATGAACTGAACATGAGTGATGGCCAAAATAAACGCCAGTATCCCCCCCATAATCCTAAACCTAAACCCTAAACCTATTGAATCCCTATATAACCCCCTTCAGGAAGTTTAGACTGTAGCTCAGACGAGTTGATGATCTTTCGCAGCTTCTTGTAGCGGATTTTGAGCTTAATGGGTAACCAGGGAGCCCAATACCCCTTAATCAAGGAATAATATACGGGCTATGAAGGGGTAATATAGGGGTTATATAGGGATAACGGAAAAGAAAATGGAATCTACTATTTAGGGTTTAGGGTTTAGGGACTTACGGGGGTTTTTCATGATCCCTTAATTAAGGAATATAGCTTAATTCATACTAGGGATTCTAGGTACCATTTGGAGTATATTCCTTAATTAAGGAGAGTTTAGGGTCATAAGTTGTGTCTTGGGAAGTTCAGTATCTTATCTCCGTAGACCCCTACACTCCTTTGCGTACACCTCCGTAAGTTTATAGCCCCTCTAAGTAGATAGAATATGCGGTATATGGGGATCTTTTTATAATATACCCAAAGCTATATTCTATCTACTTAAGGGGGACTATAACCCTAAATCCTAAACCCTAAACCCTAGACCTTAAGGGGGACTATAGGGCCTAAATCCACTATAGGGGTTTAAGGTTCATGGGCTTGGGTCTTGAGGCTATGGGTCAACTGGCTTAAAAGGGTGGAACATTCCCGCGGGTACTGGAGGCTTATGGTGACAGTCATGATAAGAAGCGTGCTAGTGCTTATGCAACAGTAATTCTACGTGTATGCCTTATACATACCCTAGACCCTAAACCCCAAACCCTAAGCCCTAAACCCTAAATCCAAACCATTCTGAAGAGCAGGCTGAGCGTGGGGGTGGAAGTGCGTGAGAGTAGATAATGGTTTGTCTGGATTGCTGATAGCATGTTGTACAGGGATTATAGGCGTTATGTAGGGATAACGGCAACAAACTGGAAATTACTAGGGACTGCAGGGGTTATGTAGGGATAATGGAAAAGAAAATGGAAACTACTAGGGATTATAGGGGTTATGTAGGGGTTTTTATGGGGGTTATAGGGTGTATATTGGGGTTCTATTGGAATAATGGAAAAGGATATGCAAGCTACTATTTATGGTTTAGGGTTGGGTCTTCTGGCATAGCTCCCCAAACACCCTGAACTGCAAACTTCAATTTTTTAGCTTGGCATGTAGGGAATGCAGCTGACTAAGTCCCTTGAGGAGGGCATGAATTCTTAGTTTTGAGTGTTGGTTCGCCTGCGTGCACGACAAGAAAATACATTCTACACAATGCAACTCAACCTTGCTATCATGATCACTGTTATTGTTAGTACAGTTATTATTGATTACCCTGGTTATTACGAACATCCTGGCTCCTATGATTATTCACCCTAAGCCCTAAGCCCTAAACCCTAAACCCTAAACCCTGAGGGTTTCAGGGTATTGCATGCCGAGGAGGCCGAAGAAGAAGCAGCCGCCATAGAACAGGCGTGCTGTGCGAAACATATGAGCTGCTGTCTGAACTGCCTAAAGGGGGGTTATATAGGGTTTAGATAGGGATTATATAGGGATTATATAGGGGAGCATGTTAGGGCTTATTAACGGGGATGCAGGGAGTTTAGACTACAGCTCATATGGGTTTCAGATCTTGGGGGTCCTTAGGGTTAGTTGCATGGTGTTTAGAGGGGCATATGTGGATACATAAGGTTAGAGGCTGCCGAAAATTATGAAGCCCCCCAAAACGAGCACAGTAGCATTTCGGGGTATATCTTGGGGGTCTCCCCCGTTTGCGGAAACTACAACACATAGTTTTGAGGGATTTCGGGGTTGGCTCTGGGGTTGAAGGTCAGCGACTATATGAGTGATGGATTTGTGAAGTACAGCATCCAGGTTACAGGCTTGAACACTTATTTTGGCCTCTTGATTCCTGTAACGTGTTTGATTTTGACAGTAGCAGAACTGGCACCGGGCCCCAAACCCTATCCCCTAACCCCTGCTCCCTAAATAGTAGTTTCCATTTTCTTCTCCATTATCCCTACATAAGCGCTAACCAACCCCTCAACCCTAAATAGTAATTTCCATTTTCTTTTCTGTTATCCCTATATAACCCTATATCACCCGTATATAACCGCTATATAACCCCGATAAACCCTAAAGCCGCGCGGGGAGTTCTGAAGGCCAAGGTCCCGGATGTAGCCACAGCATCATCTGAGCTATAGTCTCAACTCCTTAAAGGGGGGTTATACAACGGGGGTATAGGGTTTAGGGGTTTAGGGTTTAGGGACTAGGGTTTAGGGTCTAAACTCCTTAAAGGGGGGTTATATGGGGGATTATATAGGGGATTACTGTAGGGCTTACCAAGGGGGATACTGGGAGTGTGGACAATTAGTCCTTTGTAGGGTTTAGGGTTTAGGGTTTGGGGGTTTAGGGGTTTAGGGTTTAGGATTTTGGGTTTCAGGGTTTAGGGTTTGGGGATTGGGGGTTTAGGGGTGTAGGGTTTGGGGGTTTAGGGTTTTAGGGTTAAGGGCTTAGGGGTTTAGGGTTTTCGGGTTAAGGGCTTAGGGGTTTAGGGTTGAGGGGTTTGCGAAGAATCCCTTGACTTTTGAGACTGGTGTTGTGCCTTTAAACTCAGGTGGGTCTAAAGTTGAAACCGTAAACCACAACCGCGGCTTCGGAAAGAGAATCGCAACTGCCCATTTCCATGACTCCACGGAGAAGCTTAAGCCTCGGGGCCTACATGGAATTCCTGCGAAGAATTCGGTAGGGTATATCCCGCCTTCCGCCTTCGCGCCCAAAAGTAGAGCCGATAACGCGGGAGCCCAACACCGTGAAAACCAATTCCGAAGCGAGGATGTCTGAAGGTGTGCCTGACAGCCCTCATATCAACTTTCTCCTAGCCGCCTAGCCTTTCCCGAGATAAGTCTTGTGCAGCTGCTCACTAGACCCTAAAACCTAAACCCAGAACCCTAAATCCTATATACTTGTCGGGTCTCCAGTGAGTCTTTGGAGTCGACTCGGGCCACACCCCAAGATCTCCATGGCAATCCCAAAGCGCACAAGCCTCTAGCCAGGACCCAAAACCGGAAGCCCTAGACAATGGGTTTAAGGTTTAGGATGTAGGGTTTAGGACTTTGGGTTTAGGGTTTAGGCTTTAGGGCTTAGGGTTTAGGATATCCATGAATCCTGAGTCAAAAGCCGTCTATGACCCAACAGGAGGAGGCTAGACGACTGGAGGCATCCGACTCTGAAGACTAACGGTCAAGGGTTTGATACAAACGGAGGGTGTTGAGAGGCGTGGGCTGAGGGTGTTGACGGTTGCAGAAGCTTTTCGTAACAATCTCTTGCAGCATCACGTGACGCAGGGCATAAACTATCTTCAGGTATTTGCTTTTCCTGCCTGGGTGCTGACCTCAGTTTCATTCTTAGTGTGCTCGTTTCTGCAGACATGATTTTTGTAACATACTTGTGTTTCGCTCGCCAAGTTCTTCAAGCTTCCTGTTGAGAGGGCTTGCCTCCGCTCTGTGTGAGTAGTCTTTGAACGGAGGGGATATTATCCATCACAGGGAGCAAGATTCTTTTCTGCTCAGGCCGTGGAAACGCAATGCCACAGTCTCTGGTTTTTTATCTCGAAGAATGACGGAATGGATCCCCCTATAATTGGCATAGTGATCTCAATAGTAACCTCATAACGTTTTCCTTCATTCCCGATAACCGAGGGCTTAAATCAAAAACAGTGATTCCTGATGAAGCGCTTCTGACAACAACTCCTATAACTCCAAGAATCCTTAGTTCCTACCCAAGCTCTCAAAGTCGCTGCGCCTGCGTTCAGGAGGAAAGCCGCGCGCAGCAGCAGGCGGCTGCCCAGAATGAGCAGCAGCAGGATCCACTTGCAAAAGGTTCAGGGTCAGTTTGGGGCTTCCAGGTTTTCAGGGCACCGTCATCCCGCCCCTCCGCACACTGGACACAACCCTAGCCGCAACCCCACAACCCGCAACCTGAGACATGAAAACACTCAGCATTTTTGCGGGGATTTCCTAAAATGAGCTGTGTTAATCCATCGCGCTCCCCTCCACATCTGTCCTACCCTAAACCCTAGACCCTAGAGCCTAAACTAAACCCTACCCTAAGCCATAGGCGCAAACAGTGCATAATCCCCGATATGTAACCCCCTTTAAGGAGTTTAGACCCTAAACCCTAAACCCTATATAGTCCCCTACATTATGTATAACCCTCTTTAAGGAGTGTAGGCCCTAAACCCCAAACCCTAAGGCCTATTTAATCTCCTATATATAACCCCTTTAAGGAGTCTAGACCCCAAACCCTAAACCCCTCAAGCGGGCAGGAAGAGGCCGAGGCTACTCCAGAGGCCGAGGCTTCTCCCAGCAACAGCCAGCCGATTCCGGAGGAAGCCGTCCCTCAGCCTTTCATGCTTTTGGAGTGTAGGGGTTTTATGGGTTTAGGGTTTAGAGGGCTTAATGAAGAAGCCTAATTAGTTACCAGTGTGCTACAGAATTTTGGCTCTAAGGTTTAAGGTTGCAGGATGTTACCACAAGACTGGGGAATCAAGCTCAGCACAAGAAGACAAAATTAGATGGAAGCTGGGCTTATACAGTCTTGTTTAGGCATGAGGTTCCTCCAATAGGCCTCATTATGATATTTTTGCTTGTTTAGCCCCTGCCCTAAACCCTAAACCCTTAAACCCTAACCCTAGACCCTAAACCTACTAAAGGGGTTCATCACGAGGGTTGTACAAGGATCCTTTCCAGAATCCTAGAGGGACCAGAAGGGGTTATGCAAGGGCTGTATTTGAACCATGTTTGGGACACTTTTTTAGGGCTACTAACTTGGAGGTATTTGCAGACTTTGCTGGATGGCAGCATTCCAGGTGGTTCAGGGCGAACTATGCTGCTCGTAAGAGCCCTATAGCATTTCGGCGTCTCCGGAAAATTCTGATTCGACAGGGGTCAACTTCAGGCAAACTCTGTGGCATTTTAGAAATTTTGACGTCCCCTTTGGAAAACTATACAGGAATGATATAGGCCTTCTTATTGGTCTATACAGGGAACTTAACCTCAAACCCAAAACCAAAGAAGATCGGGAGCGGCTATGGCTTCAGATAAAAAACGGTTTGGCCGTCTAGAAAAAGCAGGTCGGGATTCTTCCGCCACTTGTGATCTCTCAGGGTGCAAGATTGCCTTGGCTAGGGGGAAGGGAGCTGCTTCAAATTCAGGGTTCAAAGCCCACTCAAGCCCAATTTTGGATGACCCTTCCCTGTTGTTATGCTCCCTGAATCCTAAACCCCCTAAACCCTAAACCCTAAACCTTAAATTCTGAGGCAGAAAGGCCTCCCGAGGATGAAGAGGACGACGAAGCAGAGGCCCTTCTTTACGTACAGGGTTATGGGGTTGTATGAGGTTGTGCGGCGAGATGATTTTCCGCCTTTATCGAAACTTCATGAGAGTTCTCCAAACCCCTGCCTCTTGAGGTAGGTAGAGGGTTCCTATCCGTTTCTATCGTTCCTTATGAGCAGAAATTGCGGACAGATTGTGCAGTCTAGACCTGATCATCTGCGAGGAAGGGCAGGGGTGCTTCAAGACCGCAAGAATTTGGAGCGAGAACAGCTCAACCCTTAAACAGGTGAGAACAGGGTTTAGGGTTCAGGGTTTAGGGTGTGGATTTTGGGTTCCGAAGTTTTTTCTTGCGCGAGAGCAGCAAAAGAGAGGTCCTCATACGCTGCAAGGACTCTCTCATGGTTTACTGGTACTGGCCATTGGTTAGCAAGGAATGAAGGAATGGATCCTTATTATAGTAGTCCTCATATTTAAACCATTATAACAGTTTCCATTCTGTTTTCCATTCCATCATTCCCAGCTAATCAAAGGCCGGTTTAGGGCTTTGAGCCTGGGCCAGGATCCTTATGATACGGACCCCCCCAATAATGGTACCCCTAATTTTGGGA